CAGCCGAAAACGTAACAAAATCTAGACAAAGCCTAGAGCATTCCTAGGAAAATGCTGGAAAAGCCTTAGAAAATCCCATAAATCCAACAGAAAACGTGACAAAATCTACGAAAAAGCAAGGGCATTGGCCGGGACCACGGGATGGCAGAATCAATTGGGATGGCAGAACCTTGGACAATCCAGGTCGCCATCACGTCGCAATCACGTCGCTTTTTGGTAGGAATTTCGTCACTGCAACAAAGGTCCGGAGGGGTAGGGGAGGTAAGGTCTAAGTCTAAGGCTAAGGCTAAGTCTGAGGCTAAGGCTTAAGTCTAAGGCTAATCTAAGGCTAAGGCTAAGGCTTAAGGCTAAGGCTAACATCGACAGTCACGCCTCACCCCTCGGTGTGGGGTCGGCGGATTTACATACACATATGTCGTTGCATGTTTACAGGAGGGAATCAAACACAACACCCAGAATACTGAAGAAATAATGGCTGGTAAATGTTTATGATGGTTGTTTTTGATTTTCTGACATTGGTGTTGTTTTGTTATATCATCCATATCCATTTCAGGTTCGTTGGTGTTTCACCGGAGGATTTGGGTTTTAATGCTCCAACATTCCTGACATCAAGTACGCCTCCAAGCCACCCATGTCATCCCAATCATGAATTGTTTGTGAGACCACTGTACAACTTGCATGATCCCAAACAGAAGCAACCTTGCATAGGTGGGGCGGGTTCCGTAATCATAGCATACCATACCATCATACAGCAATATATGATACGCGCATATGTTTTTCTATCATAAAATATTTAGAGGACCGCCCTCTCGGAAGAGAACGTTTCGTTTTGGGGGGGAGGGGCCTTAAAAGCCGCCTGTTTGACCTCCAAGCCCGGCCTTTTGGAACCGAGGTCTCACCGGTGTGGCATGGCCGGAGCCTCGGAGCGTCCATGTTGACGGAATTCGTTTTAGAGAGTTGAAGAACTGGCTAATTAGACATGTTTGCACAGAATCCCGGAATTTGCTGGTGCATGTGCGTCCCGCGAAAAAGGCCGAGCGTCGGCGAATAGAGGCCGAGCGTCAGCGCGTTGGGATGGGAACTGGGGGGGGTTGACATGGGCATGGGGGGCGTCGACAGTGTGCGCCCAGTCATGAAATTGCTGGTGCGGCTTAGGGTGGGAAGAAGCTATAGGATCTATACACCTTAGGGATCCAACCTAGGACGTGCCATCAATCTGTGTTCGAGCCCACGACAGGAAACCAATGGAAGGTGCATTTCGCCATTGAATGCAGCTGTTCAATGCAGACTTGCGAGCTACTGACTCTCGTTTCCATTGGGTTGAATTGGCACAGTGAGGGGAGTCACCACCCACCAGCAGATACTGTGGTTTTTATGTATATTCCGCGACCCGAGCCAGGGTATCCTTTTGAGATTGGCAACGTTTGTAATTGTGTACCAATGTTTTACTTCGTAGGAACCCTGGGTATACACTGCTATTTACACATATTGCAGCAAAAAACAACACTGCATTGATCAAAAGAGATCAGCATTCAATCAGTCTCATGCTGTGGAGTAAGTTGGCTGAATGACGCCAGGCTCATGCAAGAGCTCGGACCGAATCACAGCCACCAACGGCCATGGACTTAGTGAAAGGATCCGAGCAACCTGAAAGAGCTCCTTTTTTCCTCAACAGTGGCCAGATGGGCCAGATTGTTGGCTCCGTGCTCGACATGTTGATAAGTTTTTGGGGAGTTCCAGATGAGGAGAGGAGTGCCCTTTTGGCAGTATGCACCCTCCACCAAATAATGAACTCAATTGGGTGAGGCGGGGGTTTATAGGTTCTGCGGGGAAAGCTGTGGCAAGCAACATGACGGTCGAAGATTAACAGGCGCCCAAACCCTGATCATAGATGTTGGCAAAGGACTTGCCGCCTAGAGTGCAATCAGCCAAAGGTTTGTGATCGGAGAAGATGCGCACAAGACACAATCACTAACCTGCATAGCCAGGTTTGTGTCTACTCCAGAGAAAACATGTTTTTGGGTTAAGTTTGTTCTTGTGGGCAAAGACGCAGGTTTGGTCATTGCTTTGTTAGGCTCTAGCTGCCCAAGCTTTCGGTTGTAGATTCATCAAGATTTTAGATGGCACTAGTCGCTAGCCGCTAGTATATTTATAAATCCAACCTGAATTGAAGGGTGAACAATATAGGACTGTAATTTGAGGCATCTACAAAGCTCACAAATAATATCCACAAATGTTGTATACAGAGTGGATAGGGATTTTGCTAGGAAAAAAGGTCCTCAATCGCAAGCACCAATCAAGAGAAGAGTGATTTCACAAAGAGCAACTTGTTCACAAAGAATGAAAAAGAAAAAGAGGGAAGCAGTGTCACATAGACGATGGGCGCCGCGCACAGAGTGCATTCACAAAGAGGAACTTGTTCACAAAAGAAAGAAGACTCCGTCGTAACCGCGCTCAGCCAAATGGATGTTCATAAGCTTTTGCTTTTGTGAGGAGCGTTTCTCGCAGTCGTCGGTTAGGTGAGTGTTGGGCTCGGAGGCCCTGTCAGCTTGTTGAACCAACTCCCGTGCATGTTCGTTGTCGTCCAATATTTACGAGGATGTCAAACTCTACGAGAGTCAGGCACCTTGGGTTGTGCAGAAATAGAAGAGCAAGTAGCTTAGGTGTGGTGAATGATTCGGGTTTCATCTCATTACATGACTGTGTAGTTTCACGCGTTTGTTGGCTAAGACTTAAGGGGTATGGATCCAGAACTTCCTTAGTTGGTTGATAATGAATGTTGTCGACAGTTTCAAGATGTTTCTAAGACCTGGCACTGAAATGTATCGAGGAGTCGGCACACTGCTTCGGTCGCCTCTAAGGACTCCAGTCCGTATAGATTTGAGGTAAGACTGGTATCGTAGTCGTAGACCAAGAGTGGCTTCCGATGTGATGGTGCCGTCGGGACGGCACTTCAAGCTGGCCGCCGAACATGGCTTAATCAGATGCAGTGTACGCAGTGCTGGCGCTGGCTCAGAGTAACGCAACTGTGGGACGCCTTGAAAGAAAGGTTCCGATAGGTCGGATCGTTGTTCCGGCGCTCAGTCAGAAACATTGCGTGCATAGTATGGGGTACCCGGGTGCCACAGATTTTGTAAGATCAGTAAATCCATGGTGACATGGATCTCAAAACTGACGATTCCACCTGTGACCCTTGTAATTGTAAGCTTGCGCCGCTGGTTGCTTGCCTTGCCGCTTCAGGCTGCCACTCGCTTACCCACACTAAAGACGCGGAGCGCCTCGCAGCCTGCCGAGCGGAAGGAGCAGGCGGCACGGCGGTCCAAATCCACGGACTTTCTTTTTGACGATCTTTGGACGAATGGAAAGTGGAATTCAGGATTCAGGCTGTCCCAATCTTCATTTCCATCTCATTTCAATCTTCACTGCGAGTGTATGATGAACCCATCGGAGGAAAAGAGTATTCTTCTGACCCGGATGGTCCAGTCTCCTGTATTCTTCCACAGCTGTGCCGCACTGTGCCCTTCACTTCAGGATTGGGTTCAGTGCAATCCAGAGGAGGAACACTCACTAAAGCAACCGCACCGTTTTTAAGACCGAGCACCAGGGCCGCACCCTGTTTGTCCCGTCCAGTGGGGTGTTGCTGGAGGTGCAGAATGATGAAATCTTCAGCATCATGGTCAAGAGGCGACTCCCGGACGGCTGAAGGATCAAGATGAGGGTGGGAGATGCAAGCATTTGTGGTCAGCTTTGCTGCCTTACTGGTGGGGGATGCGCTGGCCGAAAGCCATTTTGTTTCTAGCACCTTGTGGGGGTGAAGTGAGTCAGTGAATGGCATGATGCCACAACACTTGAAGCTTTTGGGGGGGAGGTGTCATTGGCTGAAAGAACGGGGATGCTGAACGTGTTTCTTGGGCCAAGATCATGAATCACGTGACTATATACTTATACGTAGTGTTATGTAGAGAACCATGTGGCATCACTATTTATGCTGGAACTGTTTGCATGGTTCACACGGTCCGTGTTCGTCCATGCATGAATGCATGATGTGCCCTTATATGCATCAAATTGGAAAGAAGGACGTCTAATCAATCACAGCCTTTGAACATCTTTGAACAATTGTTTGATTGATCATCGAATTCCATATGTTCGTGCCATCCACCCCTCCTCAGCTCCTGCATGGAGCTTTGGCTGTCAGGCAAATGCAGATGCGAAAGGACCTCGCGCAATTGCGGACTCCAGTGGCACTGCCGAGGTTCCGCACGTGGCACTGCCGAGGTGAAAGGGAGGTCACCAAACATGTTTGGAGGTTGTCGAGGAATCCTTTGAATCATTGAAGGTGAACTGCTGTATGAATAGTGGAAGCTGGCCTTGCTTTTGGTTATTGGATGTCAGTGGAATCTCTTGTGTTGGAGCCGCTGGTGCATGTCTTCAGCCAAGTTGTGATGCCCTGGAATGTGTTGCGATGTTTGAAACTGTGAGGGTATGGACCGTGACAGCTTGACAATCCTCTCAAAAACACTCTTAGAACAAAAATTGTGCTCCTCAAAGCCTCCAAGACCAGCTGTGTGTGCAGGGGACTTGGGAACATGTTCAATTCTAACACAAACCCGATTAGCAAAACCAGGACAATCTCATTTGAGGATCCAGGATGATCCGTCAATTGTAGGGTAACTCAGATTCGAGTCATCCAGATGTGTTTATTTGTCAACGGTGGAGGTGGTCATTAATTAGGGTCCACTGATCCAGTTTGCAATTTACCAGTGCGCAGAAATACCAGGGGGGTGGTATTAGATGGCATTAGATTCTGCTTTCATCGGATATCTCCTTCGGAAATGGCGCGAACTGCAGCGATGCCTTTGACGGAAAATCGATGGACATGGTCAGGCTAGACGGAAAGCCTCCGCCGAACCACCAGGCCGGGGCGAAGCACAAAGGTCAGATTTGAACCGAGTATATGTCAGACGGTGGGAGTGGGGTCACAATTTCAAACCTGCAAAACCGACCCAACCAGTGGGGAAATGCACGTCCGCAGTGCCGACCCCCAGTGCAGACGCCCACAGAGAACAGTAAGCAATTTTAGATACAGCTTTGTTTGCATGCGTTATTAATGTTTTTGCGGTGTGCGTGTGTGTGTGTGTGTGCGTTTGAGGGAACCCCAAGCATAAACGCAAAGTGCTCTAAATGTTCAATGGCATTTAAAGGTCGTTTCTTGGGGAGAGTCTGGGGGAGAGAGAAGCGAGAGAGCGAGGAGAGGCAGTATATACATCAAAAGTGGTAGTATAGTTTCAACAATGGATGGCCTTGGACTTGGAGTATCAGAAGCCTGAGGGTCGTTGTGCAGCCCTCACTCGCACAACATGAAATTGGTGCATCGCTGGTTGTCAGAATCCTGCGGTGTTTTTGCTGTTTCTCTTTGGCATTGGCCTCCCAGAAGAATCTATCCATAAGCTGCTAATGGGTAGCGCCGGAAGAAGGGGTCAGCACCCCCCGAGTCGTGGAGCTTCGAAGCGTCATGTGCCCAGGAACAAGCTGCTCAGCTCATCGCCTCAATGGTGCGCTCAGCTCCCGCTGTCGGACTCCCCGGGGCCAGAGATTTGGGTCACGATGGCTTTCACGATGTCAACCCAACCTGTGGTGGCCTTGGCGAAGATGGATGTGGACCCATATTTATTGGTTGCCAGCAGTATAATATATATATATATATATGTGTAATTTTCTTCCGGACTACGTACTTGACGTGTGTGCATATATACAAACAGATCAAATAGGATCAAATACGATGATTCTCCACCTGGGCAAACATGGAGACAACCAGAGGGTTCAGAAGATGATCATATTACACCATATTCCTTTGAACAAGAGGTGGTCTACCGGGTCTCGCGGTCGAAAGTCGTTTGGGAGAGTGAGTGACGTTGTTTGATGGCCAACTGATTTGGTCCCTTTGGGTTTCCGTACGACAACCTCCATGCCATTCAAAAAGGCGACACATCTTCATGTTTCAGATCACTCGGTTGAGATTCTCCTGTGATGGGCTCGCCACGCTGGTCAGGTTATACCAACTTGTCCAGGAGGTACAGTCATGCACACAATACACCCACTTGGCCTTTCGCGTTATTTATTCCGCACTATGATCAAGCGGTACAGTACATTCTAGTTTTGGAAGGCGATTCAGGTGGATGATATATGCGCACTATGATCAAGCGGTACAGTACATTCTAGTTTTTGAAGGCGATTCAGGTGGATGATATATGCCGTGGTGAAACACCAGATAACACCAGCACCTTTTGAAGTGGCTGTTGCTTTCGCTTGTGATCGAATTTCGTGTAGTAAGTGGCAAGTGCCTGCCCCATCGCTTGTCAGACCAGGAAGCAGTCGGACCAGGAAGCGTGGAATCCGTAGAGATCCTTAGACATGAATCTGAGTGGATTAGCCGAACATATCCCACGAGTTGGGTGGGTCGAAGGACGGAGCGACGAAATATCCCGGCCAAGACGAGACAAACATGAACGGTTTCACTCACCAAGTTGTTGATGGCACGGAATTCTTTGAACCACCCATGCGCACGAAGATCGATGATCCCCAGCATTTCGAGGACGTCGACATGCCTTTTTTGCATCACGGATTCACAAGCCTTTCTGGTGGCCCAAAAGCGGACGTCCAACCGGACGTCCTGTGGTGGTCCTCATGACCGGTCCACTGAAGCAGCGAAGCAGCACGTGATGGGTCGGGATGCTGGGCGAGAAGGGTTTACTTGCGGATTTTGTTTGGTGTATTCTTGTGTGGGGGGGGCGCAAGCTGTGGACAGTGCATGAAATTGCTATCCGTGTGCATGGAGGGTGTGATACGATAGTGGTCGAAGGCTGTGTGGTGTTCTTGCGCTTGAGCTTAGTGCGATCGTTCAACGTCAATTCAATGATGAACCAGCCCGCATTGAGCAGGAGAGAGTGAGGGACCTTAATATCTATATATCCGTCCGTTGGTTCTTGGTGCTTTGGTGCATGTTCCAGGGAAACCGGAGCATGGAGCGTTTCGCTGGATTTTGTTGCAGGTTCAATGGCTGGCCAACTCTGATGACTGCAGCAACTTTGCCCATGCTGGTCTTCTGCATATACCGCCTAAACATTGAGGAGCACATGGCCTGGTTTTGGGCCGACTTCTATGGCCTAGGCGCGCTCCCAGCCCTTTTGGCTGTATAGGTTGCGCTGACTTGTGTTTTGCGCACAACGCCCGCCTTGAGCAGGAACGCACACGCCGTGGGTTAAAGCGTGCTCGTAGCTCTGGGGACGGGATTGTATATAGAACTGGCACCGCTGGAATACGTTTGAATACTGGGACAGTAAATGTGAACGTGATGGATTGATTTTGGGACCCCAATCATGTTGACGAAGATCAATTATTCCAGGGCAATGGGAAATAAGATAGCAGCTAGCACCCTAATGTAAACTGTTCACGAATAACCTTCCTATGATGAGGTGTTCAATTCAAAAGCGTCTACAATGAATAAACACCTTTTGACATCTTTTGACCCTGATGGTTCGCTGTGAGGCTTGGTTGCTCTTGGACTTTTTTGTGGTCTCGGCCCTGCCTTCTTCCCTCGAGTGGACCATCCACTGCATGAGCTGGATCGAGTTCGATGGACTCACAGCTGGATGTGTTTTTTTCGGGCTGAGATCTCGGCAGATCTTTTGTGATCAAGTACACTGAAATGGCACTGAAAGGCTTTCGATTGAACAGGTTAATTTGTTTTTTCTGGGTTTGGCTATGTTCGGCACGTTTGTAAAAAGTGTAATACAGTATCACCCAGAATTGGGCACAGCCCAGCTGCCAGCGAATACCCAAAATTCGCGGTTGACCTGTGGCTGATGAACAACCCAAGTCTGCTCGGACCCAGAACTCATGTTATGCCATCCATTTCCGAGTGTCGTATTTGTCAAAGTGCAGTTGCCAAGGAGTTGCGGAGGCATTTGCCTTATCACCCTGTTCGCTCTTTCTTGGTTCTCCAATGGTGCTCTCTATGCAGCCCGGTCAAGGATGCAACATGTTCAACTCATGTGGGAACGATCTTGCAGGAGGCGGAACATGACAACATGAATCAGAACATCCCAATGATTGATTGATCAGAGTTTCTGAAAGAACGTTTCCCCTGCTGAGGGCACTTCTGGAGTCAGAACAATGTGCTTGAGTCTAAATCATATATCGGGGAACTGGATTTTGGATGATTTTGGACGAGTCTTGGGAAGTCTTGTCATCTCGAGCATGTGGTTTGGCTCAACCAGGTGTTCATGCGGCTGCGTCCTGAAAAGCATTTGAGCCTGGCGCAGTTTGAGTTTGACAAGGGAAAGACTGCAAATGCTGGCTTGGTGATCCTGGAAGGGGCACGGCTGGATCTGAGCCGCGCAGGCGCGAGCGTGTGGTAGCGTGTGCCCGGGAGTCACGGTGCCAATTGAAATGACTTGTGGCATTTTTATCGGAGCAACATCGGGAAGAGAAAGCTGAAGATTTCTGGGATGTGTTTGGGTGCTTGCTTGTTCTGATTTTGCGCTCTTATTCCGGTTTGTATTCTGACGCATGTTGCGACATCAACTCTTGCATGTGTTTTGGCACTTGTTCGTGACCTACTTCCTGGCATGCTACCTGGCATGTGTCCTGACAAGTCTTGCATGCTTTCCATGCAAGACTTGATACCAGAACGCGAAGCAATTTTTGCTGCGGGTCACTAGGAGTTCGCAATTTCAAGGTGGCCAGTGGAGACAGCACATGAAATGCGCCATGACAAGTGCTAGAGCACGCGGACCGGAAGATTTTGCTTGCTAGAGCAATTGGTAGATTACATTGTCAGAACGCATGTCAGACCTATTGCCAGAACAAGTGTCAGAACACATGCCATACTTGATGCCAATAAACGTCAGGCCGTTTGATGGGGCATTTTGTCAGAGCATGTGCCATTCGAGTTTCCTAATCATCTCCCATTCCGCTGGTGATCGCTCGAAGTATAGGGCAATGGAGGCTCACTGGTGCCCACGGTCAGTAGGGAAGATAAAGAAAAGAGGTTGGTTTCAGAAGTTGTAGCTGTACGTTCAGTATCTAGAAGTCCTTCCCATGTTTTGGTCCAGTGGGATCCACGTGTGCCGGCGCAGCGTAGGGCTGAGAAAGGTCATCATGGCAAAATCAGCTGTTCACCCTGCAGCCAGGTGCTGCAGCCAGCTGCGACGGCTGCAGCGCTAGTTGCGCGACAGCAGTTGCGGATGTTTTTTGATGTCCCATGTTGTTTTTTGTTTACCTTTGTGATCCTTCTTTGTGTTGTTTTTCTTCATTCGCAATCATCACTGTTTGGCCGCTTCCCCCACTGCATTTGTGTATAAGTTTTGTTTATTTTTGTACTAACCTGATGCAGCACTGATGCATGTGAATGCTTGGGCCGGTGTTTTTGCACTACCTCACTGCAGGTGAATGTGCCCTGAGAGACTGCCGACGAGAGGCTGGTTTGAGCAATGTCTCCTCAAAGATTCCCCTGCTCCGCATGGATGACCTGGAAGTTGAAAACTCTGAAGTTGGGCGACGTCTAACAGGGGCTGGAGTCGCAGGAGGAGGAGGTGGAGCAATGGGGGGGGAGCAGGTGCACCATCACTTGTGTTTATGCGGTGCCATTGAGTCTGTGGCTGCAAGCTGCGTTCATGTAGGTTTGTACTGTATATAACAGTTCAGTTCTAATGCCATGAAGGTAATAAACTCGTTACGGGCTGCCAAGGTTCTATTGTCTGGGATGTATCACAAATTGTTGCCAAACATCATCAAAAAATCCACAGATCGAGTGGTGTGATGATCTGTGTGTTTTCCTAGTGGCAAGTTGTTCCTCCTGTTGGGGGCAAGTGGAGGCATCAGCCTGCAGTGGCAGCCTGCCGTCTCACAAGCATTATTTGGTTGGATCTCATCATTATCTAATTTCACCTGTTTGGATAGGACAATGAAATAGGTTGGTTCCAAACAAAAGGGTCGCTCAAGTTTCATACATATCAATATATATATATATATCTATCAAAACTCGAGAGGTTTTACTCCTCCAGCTGCGCCACCAGGGCCCCCACCCCCACCGCCCCATCACTCGGCTCTCAGGATCGCCGACCTTCCACACTCCAACGTGGACTTCGGGAGGGACACGGCTCCCACCGAGGGCTTTCCCTTGGGCTGGGCGGTGGGAAAAACTCGTGGGTGCCGCAGACCGTCATAGGCACCACGCACTTTGATTGGTGGGGCGAGGAGCGGAAAGCCTACGCACGACGCTTGAAGCATGACGTTAGATTTGGATGGTGGCGGGCTGCAGAAGGGTTTGAAATGTATTGGTTCTCTTTCGTTTAATCATAGTGATTTTGTGGATTGTTTGTCATTGAAAGACTCATTTGGATACGTAATAGAAACCGTAGTTTTCCATGTCATGTTGAAAGTTGTTTTTGTTTTCAACCATTGGGACTGAGACGGCCAGCCAGTCCGAGGTCATGAGACTGCACAGTTGTCCCACAGAGATCGCGACACACTAGTAACACTAGTATTTTTG